TTTTTTGTTGTTATATACCTGGATGACTGAGAAAACAAACTTTGTGTTCTTTACACATTTGTTTTCAAATGAGTTTGTTATTTTTTCTCCAGTGACACATTTGACTCCAACTACTGCTTGTGCATCTTGAGGATGATGGATGGACTGGATATCTCTTTTGATTTAGAATATGAAGGTTTGATGAAATAAAATGTTTTTCCCACTGTGCTGAACAACCACAAATTTACATATACATTTAAAACTCAACACAAGTTATAAACATACTGTTGATTCCACAGGAAATCAAAGTTTTGAGCCTCAAGAAACGGTGGAAAACCAGGACGAGCAAACCATTGATGAAGACGGAGGTAAGAACCAGCATCATCATACAAATTTAATCCAATAATTTTTTTAATTATTATTAGGGGTGAGAATACATTTTGTTTTAATTAATCCAATAAATGGAAGTCATGTATAAATACTAGATTAACTAAAACCTAAACATGCATTATATTGTACTATTATATCATTACATTAAATGGTGCAATATACATTATCCCTATTTGTGTGATCTTGTAGCATTTGGATAAAAATATCAACGATAAGTGTGGTTTGGGTTTTTGTTGTTGTTTTTTTCCACATAGACTTGTTATGACTTTAGTGTGACTTTTTATTTAAGTATGTATAATTTAAAGCTGTCATATAGACAAGTAACCCACTTTTTGAAATTGTCAGTAATGTTCCTACCACAACACTCCAGAGTGTGTAAATACTGGATTAGGTGAAACGCTGTGTCATGAAACTGTTGCTACCACCAGCTTTGTTTGTTGTTGAGCCTGCACGTCTTATGTGGAATTTTCTTCTTTCTGTTTGTCCTTCACCGGGGTTTATAGCCGATGATGTGTTTGATGAAGGGGACAGTGATCAGATCAAGACAGTGTTTCAAAATGACCAGGGCAAGAAAACCATTGACGTCTATTGGATCGCAGATGATGGAGGTGAGTATAAATCACACAGAAGAATAAGATAGTTGCTACTATTGAATAGACAGATGTTTTTAAGTTTTTCTTTTAGTTGTAATATTGTGCTTTTTGGTTCCTAAAACAAACAAACAAACAAACAAACAAAAAAACAAACAAAAAAAAAAGTCTACTCAATCACTATACAAAAAACAAGTTACCTTTATTCATAAGGATTTCTCTTGTTTTCTAAGGTTTGACATTGCTGGTCCCTTACCTGTTCACCAGGAGAAAATGCTGGCACAGATGTAAAGTCAGGGTATTCATTGTGGGAGATGAGCAGAACATGGAGGAGGGCCGCAATGAGTAAGTTGGGGGGGGGGGGGGGGGGGTTTATTCACAAAGAATTTGTTTTTCCAAACCTTGCTATGAAAATCTCAATCCAACTCGTACGGTAATGTGTTTGATTAATGTGTTTGATTATTAGGCTCTGATCATATTCAGGAAATATATATTTTCCCAACTTGATAATATAGATCCCTGACTGAAACAAAAAGTAAATGAGCAAAAAACAAACAAATTAAGGTGAGACTTATGGGTATGCGACATTATTGAAAAAGCTATCTGCTTGTATAAACTGTGGGTAATTTTACATTGAATGTTAAACTGCTCAGTTGGGAAACTAAATCTCTGCATTATAATATATTTAAGCAGATACATATATCATTTATACATGTATTTGTGCAAGCTGATCATTTTATCATTGAACACCTGTGGTTTAAATGTATGAGAGCGAAGTAGCAAAGACAAATATATTGTGTATTTGACTGTTTTGTTTTTTTTCAGGATGATTGCTCTGCTGAAAAGGTTCCGTCTGGATGTCAGTGATGTTATTGTCATGACAGATGTTGAGAAATGCCCTCAGTCCAAGAGGTATATTTGAACAGACTCTTTTATAGTCACTGCTCACAAAAATCCCCTTAAACCAATTTAATTAAAATAGATTTGTTTTAAAAAGTGTATCTATTTATTTAAAGGGGGTTGTTTAAAAATAAGAACATCTTTGCATCAGTAGTTTAAAGATCATTGTGTAATAAAAATGAGGGTCAAGATGAATACAGTGGTGTATGAATGTTTGTGAACTGTTTAGAATTTTCTATATTTCTGAACAAATATGACCTAAAACATCATCAGATTTTCACACAAGTCCTAAAAGCAGATAAAGAACCCAGTTAAACAAATGAGACAAAAATGTTACACTTGGTCATTTATTTTTTTGGGAAAATGATCCAGTATTACATATTTGTGGTGGTAAAAGTATGTGAACTTTTACTTCAGTATCTGGTGTGCCCCCCCCCCCCCCCCCCACCCTGTGCAGCAACAACTAAACATTTCCAGTAACTGTTGATCAGTCCTGAACACCTTGGAGGAATGTTCGTCCATTCCTCTGTACAGAACAGCTTCAACTCTGGATGTTGGTGGTTTCCTCACATTAACTGCTGCTTCAGGTCCTTCCACAACATCTGGATTGGATTAAGGTCAGGACTTTGACTTGTCCGTTCCAAAACATGAACTTTATTCTTTTTGAACATTCTTTGGTAGAACCACTTGTGTGCTGAGGGTCATTGTGTTGCTGCATGACCCACCTTCTCCTGATATTCAGTTCATGGACAGATGTTCTGACATTTTCCTTTAGAATTATCTGATATCATTCAGAATTCATTGTTCCATCAATGATGACAAGAAGTCCTGACCCAGATGCAGCAAAACAAGCCCAAACCATGATACTACCACCATGTTTCACAGATAAATAAGGTTTTTCTGCAGGAATGCAGAGTTTTACTTTCTCCAAACACTTTTCATTTAAACCAAAAAGTTCTAGTTTGTTCTCATCTGTCCACAAAACATTCTTCCAACAGTCTTCTGTCTTGTCCACGTGATCTTTAACGAACTGCAGACGAGCAGCCATGTTCTTTTTAGAGAGCAGTATCTTTCTCCTTCAACCCTGCCATGAACACCATTGTTGTTGAGTTCTCCTGATGGTGGACTCATGAACACCAACATCAGTCAATGTGAGAGAGACCTTCAGATGTTAAAAGTTACTCTGGAGTCCTTTGTGACCTCACTGACTATAACACTCCTTGTTCTTGGAGTGATCTTTGTTGGTCCACCACTCCTGGGGATGGTAACAATGGTCTTGAGTTTCCTCCATTTGTACACAATCTGTCTGACTGTGGATTGGTGGAGTCCAAACTCTTTACGTTTTGTAACCTGTTCCAACCTGATGAGCATCAACAACTCTTTTTCTGAGCTCCTCACAAGTCTCCTTTGTTCCTGTCATGATCCACTTCCACAAACATGTTGTGAAGATCAGACTCTGATCGATCCTGTTCTTTAAATCAAACATGGTGTTCACTCACACCTGATCATCATCCACTGATTGAAAACACCTGACTCTAATTTCACCTTCAAATTATCTGCAAATTCTAGAGGGTCACATATTTTGCAACTCACATATATGTAATATTGGATCATTTTCCTCAATACATAAATGAACAAGTATAATATTTTGTCTTGTTTGTTTAACTGGGTTCTCTTTATCTACTTTTAGCACTTGTTTGAAAATCTGATGATGTTTTAGGTCATATTTATGCAGAAATATAGAAATAATAATATATTTGGGTCTGCTCCCCAGTCGCAGCCTCCCTCTGCTGTGCCACAAGGTGATGCAGGTGCAGAGAACGCTCCCCACCACACAGTGATAGCTCCTCAGTACAGGGCCCTCCCAAGTCCTGCTCTCCGCAGCTTCCTTCTTTTACAAACACATAGAGTCCTCCCCCCTGTGTTTATCCCGACCGATGGTCACGATCCGCTCAGAATAACTGAGGACTGTTGATCTGGAAGGCTGAGTCCAGGATTTTGTTGGTGCCAGGTTTCCATTAGGCAAAGAACAGCACAGTTCTTCATCTCTGTAGAAACACTCATCCTCAGATTTAACAAGTCCACTTTGTATCCAGTGAGCGTACAGAGGCCAGAAAGAGAGTAGGAATCAGTGGTTTTTCTAGCCTTTAGCTGAGCCAACGCACCCCTCGCTTCCCCCCTCTTCCTCCTGACCCGTTGCTCCTCGCCCTCACTGCGCCATTCCACTGTCCTCAGGAGCCACTATTTCAGTATTCACTATTTTAAGAGGTTTTACCTACAGACCATCTTTTGTTTTTAAAAAGCTTTTCAAGCCCTTATATTACCAAACCAGTTTTCCAGAACAAACTAATTTGTGCCTGTTTCTTTTCTGGTGGCTTTGCAGCCTGAGCAGGTTTGTGGACAGTGTCGCCCCCTTCAGGCTGTATGATGAGCAGCAGGAAGGTGTCTCGGTGCAGGAACTGAGACAAAATGCTCCTTGGAAAATATCTGACAAAGAGTTTGAAGCCTTCAAACTTAAGGTGTGTGTTTGGTCATTTAACACATGGAGCAAAATACGTTTTTTAATCTTGGACGTGCCTTTGACACAAGTTCTTTGCATTCTTCTTTTATAGTCACAAAGTAAAGTGAGGCTGAATGAAATCATCCGGAAGAATTCACAACATACTGCTCTTGTTCTTGTGTGAGTACACAGTTTATTTTGTCTAAAAATGTTCATATATCACAAGCTCAAGAAACTCATGTTGTTTTCAGCAGAGCACATTTAAAAAAAAATGTACTTTACCAAAACATTTAGTAGACTGCGATAGAAACGAATTATGTTATCCATCCATCCATCCATCCATTATCTTTACCCGCTTCTTCCATTTTGGGTCACGGGGGCCGCCGGTGCCCATGTCCAGCAATCACTGTGCGAGGGGCGGGGGACACCCTGGACGGGTCGCAAGTCCATCACATGGACACATGGAGACAAACGAGACAAACAACCATTCACTCTCTCACTCACACCTAGGGACAATTTAGAGTTACCAATCAGTCCAACATGCATGTTTTTTGTCTGTGGGAGGAAACTGACGTACACGGAGAAGACCCATGCATGCACAGAGAGAACATGCAAACTCCACCCAGAAAGGCCCCTGAACCGGGATTTGTAACAGGGACCTGCTTGCTGAGAGGCTGCAGCTCTACCAGTTGTGCCACCGTGCTGCCCCAGAAATAAACATTATGACCAAATATAAAATGACAAACTTTACTCCTTGGTCATGCACTAGACAACGTGTTCTTGTTTTATAATATGTTCATATAATTGTGATCTTTTTGCTTTTAGGAGCCTTCCAGTGCCCCAGAGTGACTGCCCCAGTGCTCTGTACATGGCCTGGCTGGACACTTTGACCTGGGGTCTCCACTGCCCCACCGTGTTAATACGAGGAAACCAACAAAATGTCCTCACCTTCTATTGCCAGTAAATAATCTCTGCGAAAGTTGGAGGAGTCTCACAAGAATGGATAACTTAAGGCACTAACTTTAAACAAATCCTTGAAAAATGATAAAAAGATGGAAAAACATGTAGGGAAAATACATAAAGTGTTAAAAACACGTTTCATTTCACATTTCATAGCTCCTATCAACCAAAAAAAAAAAAAAAAAAAAAAAAAAA